CAAAATAAGGTTAGTTAACATCTCAATTACCTCATAATTTACTTTAGTGCATATGTGTGGTGAGAACTTTTAAGATCTACTCTTTTAGTAACTTTCAAGTGCACATTGCAGTATTGCTACCTGTAGTCACCACACTGTATATTAGAGTCCCAGAACTTATTTAAAACCAAAATTTTTACCCATTGACCACCTTTATCCATCATTTTATGCTGGATTTATGCTTTATCCATATCATTTTATCCACCTTTATTCACCTTTATCCACCCCCACCCTCATCTCTGCCTATAGCAATCATCAATCTAGTCTCTATTTCTATAAGTTTAGTTTTTTTTGTATATATAGATTTCATATAACTGAGATCATATGATATTTGTCTTTGTCTGTCTGACTTATTTCACTAAGTATAACTGTCTTCAAGTTCCATCCATGTTGCTGCAAAAGATAGAATTTCCTTTTTTTAATGGTTGCATAACATCAGTTGCATTTTCTTTATTCATTCATTCATTGATGGACACTTAGCTTGGCTTTCATAACTATCATAAATAATGCTCCAGTGAACATGGGGAAGCAGATATCTCTTCAAAGATGGTGATTTCATTTCTTTCCGATATATATATACTAAAGTGGAATTACTGGATCACATTGTAGTTCTATTTTTAAGTTTTTGAAAAACCTACATGCTATTTCCATAGTGACTATACCAGCTTACATTCCCATCCTTACCAGGACTTATGAAGTCTTGTCTTTTTGATAACAGCCATTCTAATAGGTGTGAGGTGATAGCTCATTGTGGTTTTCATTTGTATTTCCCTAATGATTAGTAACACTGAATACCTTTTCATGTACCTTTTGTACATTTGTAGATCTTATTTGGAGAAAAAAAAGTCTATTCAGCTCGATTGCCCATTTTTGATTGGATTATTTGGGTTTTGCTTTCTTGGTTTTTTTTTTTTTTGCTATGAAATTATATTAGTTCATCATATATTTTAGCTATTAGCTCCTTATAAGATATATGGTTTACAAATATTTTCTCTCATTCCATAGATTGCCTTTCATTTTGTGATAGCTTACTTTCCTATACAGAAGAATTTTAGTTTGATGTAGCTTCACTTCTTGCTCTTTGCTTTCGTTCTTGATATTAAATCCAAAAAATCATTGTGAAAACTAATGTCAAGGAGTTTTTTCATGTATTATCTTCTAGAATTTTTAAAGTTTCAAGTCTTAGTTAAAAGTCTTTAATCCACCTATAATTAACTCAAATTATTGTTAGCGGTGTAAGATAGGGGTCCAATTTCACTCTTTTGCACAGGGATAACCAGTTTTCCCAACATCATTTATTGAAGAAATCACCATTTACTGATAGAGTATTTTAGCTTCCTTGTCAAATATTATTTGACCATGTATGCATGGGTTTATTTTGGGGATGTTGGTTTTATTCTATTGATCTATGTGTCTATTTTTATGTTAGTACTATACTATTTTGATTACTGTGAATTTGTAATATGGTTTGAAATCAAGAAATGTTATACCTCCAGTTTCATTCTTCTTTCTTAATTTTTTTTCCATTTATTTTTAGTAGTTGGAGGCTAATTACTTTACAATATTGTAGTGGTTTTTGCCATACATTGACATGAACCAGCCATGGATTTACATGTGTTCCCCATCCTGATCCCCCCTCCCACCTCCCTCTCCACCCGATCCCTCTGGGTCTTCCCAGTGCACCAGCCCCAATTGCTTTGGCTCTTCAAGGTCTTTGAAGTTTCATACCCATTTAAGGATTTACTTTTTCTAATTCTGTAAGAAATACTATTGGAATCTTATAGGGATTGCATAATCTTTGGGTAGTATGGACATTTTAAACAATATTGCTTCTGGTCCATGAACACAGGATATCTTTTTATTTGTTTGTGTTTCATCACTTCTTTCCTCAATGTCTTATAGTTTTCATTGTATAGATATTTCACTTCCTCATTTAAATTTATTCCAAAGTATTTAGTTATTTTTTATGTTATTGTGCATGGGATTGGTTTTTTTTTTAATTTTAGTTTGATGTAGCTTCACTTCTTGCTCTTTGCTTTCGTTCTTGATATTAAATCCAAAAAATCATTGTGAAAACTAATGTCAAGGAGTTTTTTCATGTATTATCTTCTAGAATTTTTAAAGTTTCAAGTCTTAGTTAAAAGTCTTTAATCCACCTATAATTAACTCAAATTATTGTTAGCGGTGTAAGATAGGGGTCCAATTTCACTCTTTTGCACAGGGATAACCAGTTTTCCCAACATCATTTATTGAAGAAATCACCATTTACTGATAGAGTATTTTAGCTTCCTTGTCAAATATTATTTGACCATGTATGCATGGGTTTATTTTGGGGATGTTGGTTTTATTCTATTGATCTATGTGTCTATTTTTATGTTAGTACTATACTATTTTGATTACTGTGAATTTGTAATATGGTTTGAAATCAAGAAATGTTATACCTCCAGTTTCATTCTTCTTTCTTAATTTTTTTTCCATTTATTTTTAGTAGTTGGAGGCTAATTACTTTACAATATTGTAGTGGTTTTTGCCATACATTGACATGAACCAGCCATGGATTCACATGTGTTCCCCATCCTGATCCCCCCTCCCACCTCCCTCTCCACCCGATCCCTCTGGGTCTTCCCAGTGCACCAGCCCCGATTGCTTTGGCTCTTCAAGGTCTTTGAAATTTCATACCGATTTAAGGATTTACTTTTTCTAATTCTGTAAGAAATACTATTGGAATCTTACAGGGATTGCATAATCTTTGGGTAGTATGGACATTTTAAACAATATTGCTTCTGGTCCATGAACACAGGATATCTTTTTATTTGTTTGTGTTTCATCACTTCTTTCCTCAATGTCTTATAGTTTTCATTGTATAGATATTTCACTTCCTCATTTAAATTTATTCCAAAGTATTTAGTTATTTTTTATGTTATTGTGCATGGGATTGGTTTTTTTTTTTCTCAGATATTTTACTGTTAGTGAAAAGAAATGCAACTGATTTTTGTATACTTGAAATTTTACTACGAGGGCTTTAGGAGTTTCTGTATATAAGATTATGTCATCTGTAAATAGACAGTTTTACTTCTTTCTTATTTGGATGGCCATTTTTCTCTTTATTGTTTGATTGCTCTGTCCAGGACTTTCAGTACTATTTGAGTAAGGGTATGAAAATGGGAACCCTAGTCTTGTTTCTGATCTTAAGGGAAAAGCATTGTCTTTCATCATTGAATATGATGTTAGTTGTGGACTTATCATATATGGTCTTTAGTATATTGAGGAACATTTCTTCTTACCATATTTTTTGAGAATTTGTATCATGAAAGGATGTTAGATTTTGTCAAGTATTTTTTCTAGATCTCTTGAGATGATGATATGATTTTTATTATTCATTGTTTTAATGTGATATCATGTTTATTAATTTGCATATGTTGAATCATCCTTGCATCCCAGGGATAATCTCACTAACAGTAAAATATCACAGAACTTCTTCAAGAGAATTATTCTGAATTCTTTGTCTGATAGCTCACAGATCTCCATTTTTTGGGGGGAAGTTATTGGAGCTTTGTTTATGGTATTCTTTGGAGGTGTCACGTTTCCCTGATTTTTCACAATTCTTTATCCTTTTGTTGGTATCTTCTCATTCGAGGCAGTAGTCTCCTCTTCCAGACTTACAGTTCTCTTCAGTTAGTCAGTTCAGCTTAAGTCTTTGGACAGGTCAGCTGGTGGCGTCTAAGGGCAAATAGAGCTTGCTATCAGGGTTTTTAGTTGAGGAAGGTCACTGCCTGAGTTCTAAGGTGGGCAGTGGGAGTGCTGCTGGCTGGGCTATGCTGTTGGATGGGCCTGCTGGCTGGGTTCCATGTTCCACTGGCACCTCTGAATGGTCTTCTTGGTCAGGAGAGGCTCCTGACTGTGTTCCATTGCTGGATAGGGCACTAGCTGGGCCAAGCAGTCCCCCATAGTTAGGAGGGGTTCCGTCTGTGTTCCCTGGTAGAGCAATGCCTCTGGTTGGGCTCCGTGATTTGGCAGGGTGGCAGTCTGGGCTCCAATACTGCTCTTGGTTAGGTGAAGCCTTGGGCTGGGCTACCTGCCTGGGTGAGGCATCAAGCTGTGTTCAGCAATTGGGCAGGGCTCTATGCTTGGCCCTGCTGCTGGACTCCATGGGTAGATGGTACCACAGCCTGAGCTCAGAGGTAACCCAGAGTCACTGCTCAGGGTCCCTAATTATGCAAGGCAAAATGCTATACTCAACAGTTGGACAGAAATGGTAACTCCTTCCCTGAGCTGGGCTATAGGTGGAGTATATTCTCAGCAGTTGGGTGGATCTTCAAACTTGCTTCTCTGCTCAGGTGGAATCATAGGCTCCATGGCCAGTATGGCCCATTGGCTGAGGACCGAAATCAGCCAGAACTGCCAGCTGAGCTCCCTGGTCAGACAGGACCACCAGTTTGGCTCTATAGATGAGCAGAGAAGCTGACTAGGATCTCTGCTTGGACGATCTTGCAAGCAGAGATGTGGAATACAAAGATCTGAGAGCTGGTTTCTGTAAATTCTTCCCCTTTCTCTGTCTCTATCTGATTCCCAATGACTGAGCTCTAGATTCCCCCAGTGATCTCCATGAGATGGGACCCCAGTGAGCCTCCAAGGAACTGTCATGCAACACAGAGGAAGATGGATATCCACCTAGGACTCTCTTTTCCCACTGGAGAAACTGTAGGCTCAAGGGGCCTCTCTTGGTGTTGCATTGTGCCAGGTTGGGGGATGGATGATGCTGTCAAAGTGTGGCCACTCCTCTTATCATACTAATGTAGTTTGTCTTAGTCTCTGTGATATGGGGAGCAGGGGGTTCTTTGGCTCCATACTTGGTTTCTAGGATTTTCACAGTAGTGTGTTGTCCATGGACAGTTGGGAGTTGGTTTTCTTTTGAGGGAGACTGAAGTCTGGAATAACCTATATTACTACCTTAANACGAGGTGAAGCCCACCGAGATCTACAACCTCGGAGCCCAGAGCCACGTCAAGGTGAGCCGTCTGCCGTGGCCTGCTTTCTCTGCTCTGTCCTGAGTTCTGCAGTTTACTTTTTTCTGTCGCTCCTTCTTTTTTTCCTTTTGTGTCTTTTAATTTATTTTTTAAATTTACTTTTAATTGGGGGAAAATTGTTTTACAATGTTGTGTTCCTTTATGCTGTACAATAAGGCAAATGAGTGCTTCTTAATACGGTTCTAAAACCACTAGTCCCAGTCCTCAAGTTTTAATTCTTTGCACTAGTTCGAGTATTAAGAATCCTAATGGAAACGCTAATACATTTTTAAAAAGTATATCCTCTGTTACTGAACAGTCTATTAAATCTTACTGATGACATTAGAATAAAAGTATTCATTTCTTTGGGGTTGATCTTACAGTCACGAACCCCACTTGGATGTATTTTCTGCTGCCTTAACTCACATTGTGAATGAAGTCTTTTGTTCAAATGTTGGAAAATTAAGTCAATAAAACTTCCATTTTAATATTAATTTTTGGTGGTGATGATATTACTGGCTGAGAAAATAGTATTTTTGAGTGCCAATATGTCAGAATTAATGGAATTAACGTTTTCCTGTGAGTAGTAAAAATGACTGGGAGAAAAACTCTGTTTGGACTCTTGTCCTATCTGTTGTGACACACACAGCTCGTGCTGACTTCTTTCCGTTGATTCAGGCAGATTCTCCGGGTGTCTGTCTACCTCTCCTTAGAGAAGGGTCTTTCTGGAACAAGTCACAGTAAACCTGAGGAGCCACCCCCAGGGTTCTGGCAGTCTGCTTGACGCCAGTTTCTGTTGCTGTGTCCAGGCGAGATCCGCAGTCAGGGATGGTATGAGTCCTTTTAGATACGTGTTTAATCAGGGTAGTTACTGGAGCTTAGAAATACAAGCAACTAACTCCAAGTTAAAGCAGCCCCCTCCCCCAAAATAAAGGGAACAGAAACTCTATCAGCATTTTTGGCTGTTTCATCAGTAAACCTGGAATTCTTGCTTCAGAAAGTGTTTGAGGTGGTTGCTGTTTCTCCACACCCCCAGCTTGGGGCGAAATGAAACTAAGTGCCTGTTTTATAATCTCTTCCAGTTTAAGGAAGAAATTATAGACTAGATCAATGAAACCAAGGGTAGAACATAGTAAGAGAAGCAAGTAGAAAGCCCAGTCTCATTATTGATGCCAAAATTAAAATTTGAGCATAAATCTTCCCAGCACATTTTTCTCCAAGATGTTAACTTTGGAGGACGGCAACCAGTCCACCAGTAAGAATACTTCTTTACCTGTCTGTGCTGTCACGGAAGGTTTCTTGTTTCCTTTCTTAGTTTCTGATAATTCTGTTCTATATCCACGCTTAAGCTCTGGGCTGTGGAACGTGTCAAGGTCTTGTCTTTTGAGAGCAGAGTTATTTTTCTAAGTGATTCTGAATGTATTTTCCATCTGAAAAGGTCTCCGGCATGCTGTGCCTTGAGGGCCTGTCCCCTCTCCTCTAGAGAAGCAGGAACTGCCACTCCAGCAGTGAAGACTTTATCCTGGATTGAGGCAGCCTGTCCATCTTCACGTTGTAATTTATCTCTAGATTTCTTGCTGTCTCCAGACAAAGTAGAATGTTTTGGAATGAATACTCTGTTACTCAGCTTCCTTTAGATTAAGACGTTTCCTTTGTGATGGTGTTTAATAGATGGTTCATCACTCTAGAAGTCATAAGGTGGAAGATGCAGGGTATTTTATAGACCTATGTATATAAGGACTTCCCTGTCATTTTAGCCTTAAATGAGTCAGTCTTCTCCTTTCTCCAAAACGTCTTTGTAATTAGTTCAGAAAGTCCGGTATGCTTTCCATGCATGCCGGTCCTGCTGTGTCTGCTTAGCACCCCAGAGTGGCCGGGCTGTGCATACAGAGAGCGCAGGGGCTTAGCTGATTTCCTCCAAGTGGCCCTACGTGAAGTTTGTCTGTTTTTATTGGGTTTTGTCTGCTTCGCCTAAAGGCCAGCTAATGGGCAGAAATGGTGCTTAATTGGAGATGAATTTTGGCTTGTAAAATAGGTTAGCCCTTCAATGGCATTTGCGTGCATGGCAGAGTGGAGCACCCACCTCCGCCACAGGGGGTCGTGGCTTTCTCACGGATGACAGGCGGGCGCTGACATCCTTGGGTCTTTAGAGATAGGTGATCTCAGTCTCAGGAACGCGTGCATGGTGTCAGGGAGGCTCAGGGAGGAGCTGACAGACACTGTTAGTGGGAGCAGGTAGTTGAAATCAAGGTAAAAATACAAGGCTGAGAGTCAGAACATGGAACATGTTTGTGACGTAATGTGCATCCCAGGTAAGCTGAGTGAGAAGTGTGCTGGGAGGAATGGGAGATGGGCAGGTGGGGTGCTGGGCTGGGTTTGAGTGGCCTCTATGTGTTTTTGTTTTTTTTTTTTTTAATTCAGTTCAGTTCAGTTCAGTCACTCAGTCGTGTCTAGTTCAGTCACTCAGTCGTGTCTGACTCTTTGCGACCCCATGAACCACAGCACACCAGGCCTCCCTGTCCATCACCAACTCCCATAGTCCACCCAAATCCATGTCCATCGAGTTGGTGATGCCATCCAACCATCTCATCCTCTGTTGTCCCCCTCTCCTCCTGCCCTCAATCTTTCCCAGCATCAGGGTCTTTTCCAATGAATCAGTTCTTCGCATCAGGTGGCCAAAGTATTGGAGTTTCAGCTTCAGCATCAGTCCGTCCAATGAACACCCAGGACTGATCTCCTTTAGGATGGACTGGTTGGATCTCCTTGCAGTCCAAGGGACTCTCAAGAGTCTTCTCCAACACCACAGTTCAAAAGCATCAATTCTTCGGTGCTCAGCTTTCTTTATAGTCCAACTCTCGCATCCGTACACGATCACTGGAAAAACCATAGCCTTGACTAGACAGACCTTTGTTGGCAAAGCAATGTCTCTGCTTTTTAATATGCTGTCTAGGTTGGTCATAACTTTGCTTCCAAGGAGTAAGTGTCTTTTAATTTCATGGCTGCAGTCACCATCTGCAGTGATTTTGGAGCCCAGAAATTTTAATTAGCCACTTTTTAAATTGAAGTAGTTAATTTACAATAGAATGTGGTTCCCTGTGCTATACAGCAGATTTTTGTTGTTTATTTTATATGTAGTGTGTGTGTATGTTAATTCCATAATTATTAATTAATTCCATAATTAATTCCCTAAACTCCTAATTTATCTCTCACCTTGCCGCCCTGCTATCCCTGTTGGTAGCTATAAATCTCTTTTCTCTGTCTGTGAGTCTGTCTTTTTGGTAAAGAAGTTCATTTGTATCATTTTTTACATTCCGTATACAAGTGATATCACATGACTTTTGCCTTTCTCTGGCCATCTTCACTTCATATGACACTCTGTAGGATCATCCGTGTCTCTGCAAATAGCATTATTTCACCTTTTTATGTCTAATATTCCATTTGTATATATGTACAACATCTTCTTTATCCATTCGTCTGTTGATGGACACAGGTTGCTTCCAAGTCTTGGCTATTGTAAATAGTGCTACAGTGAACATTGGGGTGCATGTATCTTTTTGAAATAGAGTTTTCATCTTTCTTGAATATATGCCCAGGAGTGGGTTTGCTGGATCACTTGCTCTTTTTTTTTTTTTTTAGTTTGTGGAACCTCCATACTAGTTTCTGTATTGGTTGCACTAATTTACATTCCCACCAGCAGTGTACCAGCTTCTCCAGCATTTGCTATTTGTAGACTTTTTGATGATGGCTATTCTGACTGTTGTGAACTGATACCTCACTGTAGTTTTGATTTGCATTTCCCTGATATTTAGTGATGTTGCACATCTTTTGCTCAGTGTGATTCCTTCAGCTCTTTTCTCTCGCATGATTGCTTTGGCTGTTCAGAGTCTTTTGTGTTTCCATACAAATTTTAAAAATTCTTTTCTGTGATAAACACCATTGGTAATCTGATAGGGATTGCATTGAATGTGTAGATTGCCTTGGGTAGTATAGTTATTTTGACAGTATTGTTTCTTCCAGTCCAAGAATATATCTCTCCATCTATTTCTGTTGTCTTTGATTTCTTTCATTAGTGTCTTACAGTTTTCAGAGTACAGGTCCTTTGCCTCTTTAGGTAGGTTTATTCTAGGTATTTTATTCTTTTTGATGTGATGGTATATGGGATTGTTTCCTTAATTTCTCTTTCTGATATTCCATTGTTAGTGTATAGGAATGTAACAGATTTGTTTCCTGCAGCTTCACTCAATTCTCTAATGAGCTTTAGCAGTTTACTGGTAGCATCTTTAGGATTTTCTGTGTATAGCATCATGTCATCTGTAAACAGTGACAGTTTTACTTCTTCTTTTCCCATCTAGATTCCTTTTCTTTCTTTTTCTTCTCTGATTGCTGTGGCTAGGACTTCTAGAATTACGTTGAATAAAAGCAGTATGGATGAGCTCCTTGTCTTGTTTCTGAACAGGAGACAGATTCAGAGGTGAGTGGAGGTGGGGCTTCAGAAGTACAGGACGCTGTTGGGTGAAAGTGGTGGCAGCCGAACTGGGCGTGAGGCGGGTGAAGCGGGAGGCCTGGTGAGGCTGACCCGCTGCCGTCAAGACGTGGGGCCTGGTGGTCCCGGTGATGGAAGCAGGTGTTCGAGGAGGGACTGCTGAGGCGGGTGGGGGTGTGAGGGGTCCTCCCAGACATGTTCTACCAACAGGACTTGAGGGATACTCAGGTAATGCAGCTCAAAGGTAATTTAAAGTATGTTGTGAAGTTGGAGAAAGATGTGGAGTTCGGTCCTAAGGATTCTCGAGAGGCTGAAGCCAAGGCAGCAGGTGGAGACAGAGGATGAAGGCTGATCCTCAGGGAAGGGAGCACTTAGACTGGGGAGGGCAGGAGTCAGGGATGACAAGGGGATGGGATGGGGAGGCAGGAGGGTGGAATTATGTGAGCAAGTCAGCAAATCCTGCCCTCTCAGGCAGGAGTGGTGTCTGCAGGCTGAGTGAGGACCAGGCTCGAGACCTTGG